CCCCCCCCCCCTCCTCCCACTCCTTTCCAGTCCCGAAAGCAAGTTTTTCGGGCAAAAGTCTCATTACTAGATTAGAGATTCGGGCAATTTCAGATATCTCACCCGTCTCGGACGTACACCTGGCTCCGCCACTGTCTGTATAGAGAATTGTGTCGACTGGACACAAATAATTCTGCATCACTTCAACGGTAACGTCTCAGATAGATTGAGAAAGTAGCTAATTAGATGTATTGTTATATTACATAACAGTATACTATAAGCACCGAGTGATCAGTACAGGCCTGTATCACCAGGAAATGCACCCTCAATATTCAGTAATCTTTAATATGAAGGAAAACTTGACATTTTGGCTAATAAAATCATGTTAAGGCCTATATATGTTAGATAAGTCAGATTACGTCAAGATTACATGATGATTTAAATTATTGCTAATTAGAAGCGGACTCTGACATATTTTTCTTCCAAAAGCATGCTGTATACATCATTTTAATATTATTAATGACCCCTGTATGTATATTCATGAAGATTTTATGGATAGCAGGTATGTATTCAGAGATGGATAAAGGGTCGACATATTGACATATTGACTGACACACTGATGATCTTTGATTAATTTGCGAAGATGCGGTTATTGAAAAAAAATATGAAAAGATGATTGACAGAGATGAATAATACAATACTCGCGTGCTTTGAGATAGTTACACGCGAAGGCAACAGCATTTCGTAGTTTACAGTTGACAACAGACTGGGTATTAACCTCCGATTATTATTCATAAATAAAATATAATAAAATAGAAGATACCACTTCGATTGTCATTGTTCAAGATGGCGGTCGGTCAAGCATATGATACATATTAAACAAATAATAAGTCTTGAATGACATTTGACGCTTGTATAGTGGTCAACGATATACTTGGCTTGAATCACTTTGTGGTCTAAAGGCAAATAGAATACTTAGACTAGGCCCTACTTAATTTAGTCAACGACATCTTAGGCACCATGGACGTGACGATGGCCTACTTGCGGTGCCAGATTGTAGGTGTATAATAAATAAACTGTATAACAATCTTTTTCTATTTTCAATAAGTTACGAGCAGTCTATGTTTAAAAGGGAAAGGGCGCTTAAAATATTAGAAAACAGTTCCAAGATCAAGGGAGGTAATATTAAAAACTTGTTCATGTTCATTTTAATTTTACACTTACTTGGAGGGAGAAAGATAACGTTTAATGACGTTTTTAATTAAGTTTTTCATTTTGATAACAGTAGACCAACCCAAACAAATTAAATGAGTCGCAATAAGTCCATGATGAAAATTGTTCATACCTAAGAACAGCATGGAGAAAATGTTTCAATCCAAGGGAGGTAATAAATGTAAGTTTGTTGTACATATTTTAAGGGAGATAACCCTGAACCACTTTTTTACATCTTTAACTCTCCAAATTATAATTGAAGTTAAGACCAACTGGATTACGCTAGACCCTGCACCCTCTCAAACGAACAAATTAAATGCTTCTGACAGATTTAATTACAAAATTATTCCAAGCCTAAACAAGAATGGCGTTTAAATGAGAATACCAATTTTAAAGTTCAAGGGAGATAATCACGAAAACCTTTTCACTAAAATAGAGGCAATTTTTAGGCTAGCTTTTTTAAGTGAAAAAAATACATGTATCGCATGTCGTTCATTATTTGTACAATCGTAATCTAACTCGAGTAATTATAGGCCTACACATCCCAAAATCCATGTATACCATAGCCTATTTTATGTCATTAATGTTGTATTCTATATTCAAATAGGTTTAAATTATGCATTA